GAAGTTTTGATGAAAACTATTTGGTGGCAGCCGAGTGAGGTTCACACATGTGAGGTTTTTTGAGAAGTATTTAGGGGTGAGAGGCTGTTACCTCAGGGTTATGACTTTTAAGTCAAACCCAGTTTAAATATCAGTTCTGCAATATAAAGCTGGTTGACTTAAACTAATGATTTAATCTTTGTGAGCTTTAAAGTCGTAGACTAAAATGCAATAATAATACTTCCATAATGAGTTCCACGAGCTTTAAATGAACTTTGTGGGCAGCCTGTATCAATGGCTGGACCCTAAAAATTACTTAGGAAATGGTAGGTTTTCTTTTAAATTTATAATTGAGGTTTTTCTTGCTTTCCAAACATCTATATTTTATCACTTACTCTGAGTTTGGGTCAATTTCTCCCGTTTCCTGAACTTTAGTTTTCATAACGATAAAACAGAACCAAAATTGTGGTGTTATATTGACAGTACTTGCAGTACACACAGATATTCAACTGGTGTTACTTTCCTGACTGTTAAAAATATAGAGCAGTCCTCCAGGACAGAAAGAAGGCCTCATAAACTACAAAGCTCTTAAGTCCTCAAATTTATACTTTCCTTAGTTTTAATTATTTGTAAGTATAACATTGGGACTTTCCACCTTGTAATCAAGTTCTATTTTCAGCATGGTGGGTGGTGGGGAGTAAAGGGTAAAGGAGTCAAATATATGGTGGTGGCAGAAGATTTAACTTTGGGTGGTGTGCACACAATGCAATATACAGATTATGTATCACAGAATTGTACACTTGACACTATATCACTTTATTAACCAATGTCACCCTAATAAATTTAATTGTAAACAAGTATTTGCAATGATGTCTTTAGTTTCACCTCTGAGAGACCCTTCATCTCCCTAGCCAATTCTCTAAAATCAAACCCTCCAACAGCAGGTAATTCGGGGTGCCAGGGCTTCCTGATAGTGGAGAGGGTTATGATAATCACTTGGATGGGAGGCAGGACCGAAGTAGAACCATCCTCTCTCACAGCACTGCAGGGAACGCAGAATCAGAAAACCTGGCCCTGCTCCCCAGGGACATGCAGGTCAAAGGACACAAATAATTGTGATAACACAGCATTATGAAATGTAGAAACCACACTGTAAAACATAGTTTTCATTAGACAGGCAAAATGTTTCCAGAATAAAAATAAATAAGAATGTTAGGAGGTTTCTTTTGGACTTCCGGCAAGATGGAGGAATAGGTGGATGCACTGTACCTCCTTGCACAACCAAGATTAGAACAACAATAATTTACAGATAGAATAACACTCAGAACTGATAGAGGATTTATCTGAATGGAAGTCAGACAGCCAAGAAGTTGAAGTAGACCCGTACATCCAGACTGGTAGGAGACGACGAGCCGGATGGGTGTGGGGCTGGCGCGCGGAGGTCGGGGAAAATTTGGCGCGAAATTGGCGCGATAGCCATCCGGGGCACAAGAACGCAGCGGTGATCCCTGAGTACGCAAGCTGCGGCGGGCGGACCCAGTGAGGCAGCGATTGTGGACCAGGGCAGAGCTCGCAGCCCAGAATCCCAGAGAAGGGTCTGAGCCCCGGAGAATGGAACTACTGCCATTATTCCCTCCCGCCGCTGCCCCCGCCCCCACATATAATGTCACAATCTAGCAACTGTGGTGCCCAGCCCCGGTGAACACCTAAGGCTCCACCCCCCACCATAACTAGAGCAACCAGACGGAAAAAAAAAAAAGGAGAGACAGGGAAAGACATAAGACATGTTTCCAACAGAACAGATCAGTCCTCCAGGACTCATCCTTTTGAGCGACCAAGAAATAGCCAATCTATCAGAAGCACAGTTCAAAACACTGGTGATCAGAAAGCTCACGGAATTGGTTGATTTTGGGCGCAATTTAGATGAAAGGATGCAGGTTACCATAAAAGAGATGCAGGAAGATACGCGGAGGAGAGCCAATAGTGAAAGGAAGGAATCTGAGTCTCAAAACAATACAGTGGACCAGAAAGAAGATAGAATCAACCAAGCAGGAAAGCATGATGAAATAAGAATTCAAAAAATCAAGGAAAAGCTTAAGAGCATCCAGGACACCTTTAAACGTTCCAACATTCGAATTATAGGGGTACCAGAATGGGAAGGGGAAAAGCAACAAATTGAGCATGTATTTGAACAAATAATAAAGGAGAACTTCCCCAATCTGGCAAAGGGAACAGTCTTCCAAGAAATCCAAGAAGCTCAGAGAGCCCCAAAGAAGTTGGACCCAAGAAGAAACACACCAAGGCACATCATAATTACATTAGCCAAGGTAAAAACGAAGGAGAGAATCCTACAAGCAGCAAGAGATAAGGGGGACAGTAACCTACAAAGGAGTTCCCATCAGACTGTCAGCTGATTTCTCCAAAGAGACCTTACAGGCAAGAAGGGGCTGGAAAGAAGTATTCCAAGTCATGAAAGACAAGGACCTACATCCCAGATTGCTCTATCCAGCAAAGCTCTCATTTAGAATGGAAGGGCAGATAAAGTGCTTTTCAGATAAGGTCAAGTTAAAGGAGTTCATCATCACCAAGCCCTTATTTTATGAAATGCTAAAGGGACTTATCTAAGAAAAGAAGACAAAGAAAAGACATGTATAGTAAAAGGACAGCAAACTCACAATTATTAACCATACCTAAAGCAAAACCAAAAGAAACTAAGTAAACAACTAGAACAGGAACAGAACCACAGAAATGGAGGGCACATGGAGGGCTAGCAGCAGGGGGGTGGGAGGAGGAGAGAGGGGGAAAAGGTATAGAGAATAAGTAGCATAGAATGTAGGTTGAAAATAGATAGGGGGAGGGCAAGAATAGTACGGGAAATGTAGAAGCTAAAGAACTCATAAGTATGACACATGGACATGAACTAAAGGGGGGGGGGACATGGGTGGGAGAGGGGGGTACAGGGTGGAGGGGAGAGGGGGGGGGGAAATGGGACAACTTTAATAGCATAATCAATAAAATATATTCAAAAAAAGAATGTTAGGAGGTAAGGTGAATCAAAGGAAGAAAAATTCCCATCAGACCAATAGTAACTAAATAAAAGTTGAGTTAAACTTTTATGTAGACTTCAAGAAACAGATCATTCTATGAAAGCAAGAAGGACACTAGATAATGACAAGAGGTTTAATACAAGAAAAAAAAATAGACCTAATAAAATATCTTCAAACGTAACAGAGAAAAAATAATGGAACAAATAAAGTGCTGCTGGCAAACCCAAACAGCGCTGGGGCTGCAGCACACCCAAGCACTTAAAGGTCAATCCAGCCAAACAAGCAAAGGTTACGTAAAAGTTCATTTATCTATACATAAATTCAGTTCAAGTTTATTCAGTAGCAATCACACTTAGAGCCACTTAAGCGATCTCACTTGGCCACAAAATAACAGGGTAGCAAACACTTCAAGACAGACTTGGGGAAAACAGGACCCACAGTGACAAGGATAAGAAAAGCCAGATGTGCAACCCCAGTTCGAGCCTCACTGAGGCCAGACATTTGCTCAGTCTGACTCCACTCTCATGCTCACTGAAATGACCTCACCTTTACGTTGGAACCTAATCAACAAAACAAACAAGAGAGCCAAATGTAGCCAGAGACATTGAAATTAAGAACAAATGGACAATAACCAGAGGGGAGATGGGAGAGGATAATGGGGGGGGGGAAGGGGGAAAAGTTTACAGGAACAGCTATAAAGGACACGTGGACAAAACCAAGGGGAGGTAGAATCAGGGGAGGGAGGTGGGGGAAAAAGACAACTATGCTTGAACAACAATAAAATTTTAGAAAATGGAAAAAAATAAAATAAAATGAAGGCACACCTCTCTAGCCATTCATCATCCTGGACCCAAACCTTGGGCCTCACCATCATCCACAACTCAGATCTTATGAAATCACCATCCCTGTCACCAACCATTCAAGCACTGGAGCAGATACTCATAGACCCAAAACCAGAACATTAAATGATGGCAGAGCTTGTGTTTCCATTCCTCTCCTCCCTACCATAGAAACTGTAGGGAGGAGAGGAGTAGAACAGCTTTTAGGGCTTACTCACGTGTGCCTGATGACAGCAAATTCTCTGTCCACATGGTAGTCTGTTCCACTGATGAACTGCTCCAGTGGTGGGAAAATGGCATTTTAAAATTTTTTATTAAATTCATTGGGGTGACTTTCATTAATAAGATTGATCCTAAAGGCAAGGGAAGTAAAGGCAAAAATGAATGAATGAGATGACATTACTTTTAATGTAATGTATCAAAAGCAGTCTCTCCAGAACTGCTATTACCCATTGCATCTAACCCTCTGGTTCCAAACCATCCTAAAGAAAAGGGAAGCAAAGGGAGAAATAAAGGAGGAGAGAGCAGAGGAGAGGAGGGGCGGGAGGAGAGGGGAGGGGAAGGGAGGGAAAACAGATTAAACAGAAGAAAATTGTAATGGTGGGAAAGTGTAACCCACCCCACTATTCTTTTGACATTGTTTCTGTAAGTGCTGACTCTGACTAATATGTAGCTTGTTGACATGTTTGTATAAGAATCCTAGTATCTGACTTCAGAAGATACAGACTCCAACCTTCAGGCATCTCAGCTCCGGAAGATCTGCTGATCTTCAACTGTGGAGTCAGGAGGACATTCACAAGTACATGGGCTTAATAATTCTTGACTTTGTCTGCTAGATGCCTCCTTCCCACCTACTCACTTCTAAAAGTGAATTAAAAAGGTAAAAGTCGTCACAGCCCATCTTTACAGAATTTCTAGAGCCCTTGTTGCCCTTGGGGACCCACGACCCACACCTGCTTGCAGGGTGGGGGCTGCAAAGCCCTTCTAATTAAGGTAGCATAAAGTACACTGTGCAGTCCCCTGGGGTCATTTTCAAGAAGCGAAACCTCCTGGTAGGGCAGAAACATTTTTATACATCCCTCAGCCCTGGCCACTGCATGTGAAACTAAAATAATTGGGGCAAAGCCCAAGGTAGCAGAAGCCACCGATTTCCTGTCGCCCTGGTATATATCAGAGGTCCCAGGCCTGGCCTATCTCACTCACCCTGTGGACTTGAGAAAGTAGCCCTCCAGCGAACTCAGCAGCAGGCATCAAAGCAGCCCCTGAGCCCTGAAGCTTTGGAGACTCAGGTAAGGAATTAATTTACATACTTCATTTAAATGACTGAAAGGGAGTGATGGGTAAGGTATAGAATGGTTTGGGAGACTGGAGATTTTCAGCTCTAACCCTAAGGCTTCCCTGGTCAAGTTTTCTGATGGTGTCATGACTGAGGAGGGGTGATATCAAGGCTTGCTGCCCACCTACTCCTAATTTCTCTCTATCTTTCTCTTTCTCCCTCTCCCTCGATCCTGGCCATGAGTTGAACTTTGAGTCATGCTACAAAATCGCAGATTACAGCATGTAGTTGAAGCATGGTTACCAAGCATTTGGATCAGATCTGCACTCTACGCCTTACAAGCCATATAACCTCAGGCCAACTTACTAAACTTCTAAGTCCCTCAGTTTCCTCTTCCGTAACATTACAGCAATAGTAATACCCACTGCATTATGAAGGTTCAGTGAGCTAAAATCCTGAAGCTCTTAGAATTGGTTGCCTGGTGCCAAACAAGAAAATAACCAGTGGTGGCTATAATGAAAATGACTCTATTCTTCTTGCTTTAAATGCTTTTGTCTCCAAAGGTATCCCACTAAATGCAAATATCCCTAGATGATAAACCCCATGAGCTAATGTTCCCGGAGGGGGTTGGCGGGCACCAAAATGAGCCCCAAATCCTGCCTCAAATCCATCTCAGAAGCTTAGAGTCAGAGTGGCCACTGAAGATGAGAGGAAGTTCTAATGAAAGGGGATCAAAATGAATTTTAACCATGTCATAACTCCTTTCTGAAACCAGTGTATAATGTGACTCCCCTCCCCTGTTTCCCATAAAATGGCTTGACCTCACTGATCAGATGAACTTTTTGTCCAATGTCCTGAGCATTTTGTAAAACTGTTCTGAGGAAGGTGTTCAATTTAATGTTCATTTTAACATTTACTGAGCTCATAGCATGTGGGAAATAGGTTCTCAAAACAATCCTAGTAGGACATTTCCCTGCAGGATTTACATCCCTTTAAGAGAAATTGCAATATGATGAAGAAAGAAAACAGTTGGTGACAAGTAAAAAATGCAGAGAGCTGTGACTTTGAAAGAGAAATCCTTGCCATGGGTGAAAAGAGAAGGGATGGCCTCAGGTGATGTGACCATCTTTGGGGAGTCTGACTGAAAATGAAGGGGTGGGAGGAGCATTTCCTAGGGGAGAGGACTCACTGAAGAAAGCAGGAAGCAAGTCCAGACCAGTGGCTCCAGCTCTGGTGGGAAGCAATGGGATGGGACTTAAGAAGTTAGGTAGAGCTGAACTGGGAAGGGCCTCTGCATCGTCAATGACAGGTACGAGAAAGAGTTCAAGCTCAGGAAGAGAAGGACATAAGTAGTCATTGAGGGAGCCTGATCACAGGCTAACATTTCTGGAGGGGGCTAATGGACACCAAAATGAGCCCCAAATCCTGCCTCAAGACCATCACAGAAGGGTAGAGGGAGGATGGATTAGAAAAAAAAAGAAAGATTCAAGGCAGAAAAGGGAGATTTCTGTGCCTCAACCAAGAGAGGAAATGAGAATCGAACGCATGAGGTGACACTGGAAGTAGAAAGAAGGTCCTTCTGCAGGATAAGCCCCATCACAGAGGCTGACAGAGCATGACCTGGCCACTACGTGACCATGGGAGACAAAGTGGCAGAGTGGCAGATGCCTCCGGCATTTTAAGCCTGGGTGACAGGGGAAACAGAAATAAAGCAGCCTGAGGGATGCCACCCAAGGAAAGGCCAGCGACTTTGCAGCACAGTCCCTGAAGGGAGCAGTTTCAGTTCAGTGGCTCTGGCTGCAACTGGCTGTGAAGCGTTGATGAGTGAGGAGGCGGGAGGAAGTGGAGGAAGAAGGTGGAACCATAAACTTGCTTTTTAAAAGCATATTTTATTGATTATGCTATACAGTTCCCCCCCTTATCCCCCCTCCACCCTGCACCCCTCAACCCTGCACCCCTCAACCCCCCAGCATCCCCTACCTTAGTTCATGTCCATGGGTTGTACATATAAGTTCTTTGAGTTCTCTGTTTCCTATACCATTTTTGACCCCTCCCCATCTATTTAATGCCTACCAGTTATGCTTCTTCTTCCCTGTACTTCCCCCCATTCCTCCCTTCCCCCTCCCCACTGAAAACCCTCCATGTGATGTCCATTTCTTTGATTATGTTCCTGTTCTAGTTGTTTGCTTAGTTTTTGTTTTCATTGTTTTTCTTCCTTTTCTTTTTTTTAGGTTATTTGTTGATACTTGTGAGTTTGTTGTCATTTTACTGTTCATAGTTTTTATCTTCCTTTTCTTAGATAAGTCCCTTTAACATTTCATATAATATTGGCTTGGTGATGATGAACTCCTTTAACTTGATTTTATCTGGGAAGCACTTTATCTGCCCTTCCATTCTAAATGAGAGCTTTGCTGGATAGAGTAATCTTGGATGTAGGTCCTTGCCTTTCATGACTTAAAGTACTTCTTTCCAGTCCCTTCTTGCCTGCAAGGTTTCTTTTGAGAAATCAGCTGATAGTCTTATGGGAACTCCTTTGTAGGTAACTGCCTCCTTTTCTCTTGCTGCTTTTAAGATTCTCTCTTTGTCTTTTAATCTTGGGTAACTTAATGATGATGTGCCTTGGTGTGTTCCTCTTTGGGTACAACTTCTTTGGGACTCTTTTGGCTTCTCGACCTCCTGGGAGTCTACTTCCTTTGCCAGATTAGGGAAGTTCTCCTTCATTATTTGTTTAAATAAGTTTAAAATTTCTTGCTGTTGTTCTTCTCCTTCTGGCACCCCTATAACTTGGATATTGGAACATTGCAGGTTGTCCCAGAGGTTTGTAAGACTCTCTTCACTTTTTTGAATTCTTGTTTCTTCATTCTGTTCTGGCTAGATGTTTATGTCTTCCTTTTGTTCCAAATTATTGATTTGAGTCAAGTTGTCATTGTTGGTTCCCTATTGTCACTATTGGTTCCCTGAATATTTTGCTTTATTTCATTTTGGGTATCTTTCATTTGTTTTTTCATTTTTTGACCAAGCTCAATTAGTTCTGTGAACATTTTGATTACCAGGGCTTTATATTTTCTATCAGAGATTTTCTATATTCTCTATCTTTCTGAGATTTTGCTCTGTACTTTCATTTTGGCCCTATTTCTTTGTTCAGGCCCCTCTTAAGTTGTAAAGAGGTGGGGCCTTAGGTATTCACCAGGGCAGGGCAAACCTCTTTGCTACGCTGCTGCACTGCCTGTTGGGGAAGGGCCAGAGAGGGAACAGCACAGCTCACTTGCTAGTCTCTAGCCCACTTTTCCAAGAGCTCTCTGTGAGACTGGGAGCTTCTCCCACCTCAGCAACTGCCGGAGTCCACAGCCACCTCTGAGTCTCAGTTTCCCCTTAAGTCAGTCCCTTCTGTGCAACCTGACACCTCGCTGCAGCCAGCCCCACCCCCAAGGCCTGCTGCCTCACCACAGTTTCACTCTGTCTGCTGCCTTACCAGTCTGGTTGTTTGTTTGACTATTTCTTTGATTCTGTGGTTGTCGGAGTTCCATGCAGTTTGATTTTCTGCCACTTCTGATTGTTTATTGATTTTAGATAGGTTGTTATCTTCCTTTTGCTTGTGCAAGGAAGCAAAGAGTTTCTACCTATGTCTCCATCTTGGCCAGAACTCCATAAGCTTTTAAGAAGCTGTGGATCAAGGACAAGGGAGACTGGGCAGTGGCCGGGGACACTGCTAGATTAAAGGAAGGGGCTTTGGGACTGGGGGACACCCCAGCACATTTTAACCATTAAAAAAAGTCCAGTGACTACAATTATTCTTTGAAGGTTAAGTCTTATAAATTACAAGTTATGTCATGTTCTCAAGGTAATACTTTCTCATCCAAGTACTAACCAGGCCCGACCCTGCTTAGCTTCCGAGATCAGACGAGATCGGGCGCGTTCAGGGTGGTATGGCCGTAGACAAGGTAATACTTTCAATAGAGAGATCACAAAAGTAGCAAGCAACAGAGGAAGACTAGCCCCTGCTACATAGCACCACAAAGAGTGAGACTGATGGTGCAACAACCGACTTCTTTAAAGGACTGAAGTCTTGGTGGAAGGAGATGGGCTGAAATGCACAGGCAGAGGGAAAGGAAGCAAGAACATTCTTCCTCAGAGATAAGTATACAAAAGGCCAGAAAGGATGAAAATGCAAAACAATTTTGAGTGACAAAGGAGGAAGTTGAGGTAACAAAAAGCTTTGAATTTCTCAGCAAATGATGGAATTACTGGACCTAAAGCTCCTAACTCAAATCACAACCCATGAAAGTTGTGAGTTCTTCAGAGGATGGACAGAAACAGTGGTGCCTTTCAGTTCAGTTTTTTTAAAATAGATTTTATTTACCTATTTTTAAAGAGAAGGGAAGGGAGGGAGAAAAAGAAGGAGAGAAACATCAATGTGTGGTTGCCTCTTACATGGTCCTCACTGGGGACCCAGTCCACAAGCCAGGCACGTGCCCTGACTGGGAATCAAACTGGCAACCCTTTGGTTTCACAGCCCTCACTCAATCCACTGAGCCACACCAGCCAGGAACAGTGGTGCATTTTAAAAGTCAAGAGAGATTTGCAGAAGTTGCTGTCATAAAATGGGGCAGTGTCTGGTAAACTGAATTCTGATTTTAATATAATTTAGTGAAAATAAGATAGTCTTGTTACCACATTTTGATTACTGTGATGAGTAACCCCAACTAGTATACCAACTAATCTTTAGGCATAACTATTTGGGGCATTGAGTAATTGTGGACATTTTTTTGGATGGGGCAAAACTTCAGAAATCTACAATATCCTTAGGAGTATGGGGTCTAGTTTTATATATTTCCACAGAATGTAACTTTTCATTACCCTGTCTAGGATTTTCTGGCGTTTTACACACACACACACACACACACACACACACACACACATTTAGAGTAGCATATAGAAACAAGTATGTCTGTGTTTATAAACTACCATTTCACAGTAATATTTACTGAAGGCTTTGCAGAAATTTCCATAGCAAGACATAACTTTAACAGAGCACACAGTTCTCCCCCATGGTCATGACTGCCATTCACCACTGCAGACACGGCCCAAGTAGAACTTGCTTGCATAAATGGTTTGTCTCACCAGTAATAGACATAACCTTAGGCAGCTGAAAAATATGGAGAAATTAAAAATGACAGTAGTTCAATCACCAAGATAATTGATGACTTTTGCTCTTTAAGTCATCATCACTAAAATGAGCCCTCTGGAGAGGAGTGTGGTGACTCCCAGCTCTTTCCAGACTAGTCATGGGAAAATTAACTTCTCTGAACCTCTGTTTCCATGTCTACAAGAAGGCAAAACACCTACTTAGTAAGGAAGGTGTTGGGAGATTTGGAACTACGTGCACATGCACTGTCCCTGGAACACAGCAGGTGCTCAGTGAACAGCTCTATGGGGTCTGGTCTGTGGTGCAGCACAAAAACACCAGCCTCAGAGCCATGGTGACTGCCTTCCAGTTCGACTCAGTCACTAAGTGCAAGGGCTTTAACAGGGCATGTCCCATCTATGGGCCACAGTTTCTTCTTTTGTTAGATGAAGAGAATGGTTTCTGAGGTTCATCTGACTAGCTCTAAAAATCCTTCCTGGTTACCAGAATCAGTTAGTAAAATTCCTGCTGGGCTACATTAGTATAATTCTTTCTGGTTGGTGGTCTGGTGGGGTGGTTTGTGGTACGAAGCAAATCCCCATGACCACATGACATCTGATAATCTAGAAGTCAGGCAAAATCAAGTGCAAAGCACCCAAAGCCTCCTGTCTTCCTTTCAACCCAGACAGATATTCTGTTGGCAATTGATTTATAGTCACTCATCTATTTGAAGGAAAAGGAAGAGGTTCATTAGTGAAATAGACTGAGTTCCTATTCCCCACGGAGGACAAAGCAGCCTGGTACCATACCTCCTTGGATAGGTCCAAGTCCTCATTTTAAATCTTTATTCATCATGAAACTTTGAACAAGTTACCTAACTTTTTTATGCCCTTGTTACCTTCTGTACAAAATAAGGGCAATGACTCATCTCTAATCTACTCTGTGAGGCTCAAATGACATGTCAGGTGTGAAATCTCTTACTATAAAGTGGGTACAAATGTGAGGCCTGTCACCTGTCTCATGGCACACCTGCAGTTGCTCAGCTGTGTGTGACTTCAGCAAGATAAATGAGAGACAGACAGCCTTGGTCTCCAAGGTTCCTTGTGTGACTTGCAGTCAATAGAGACAAGAACAATGACCTGTCCCTAAAGACAGATTTCCAGGGTCCAGAAAAAACCTGGTAGAATTCATGTAAGTAATTGACATAAACAAATTAATACCAAAAGGATGCACAAGGTGAAGAAGGTTGAGCAGTATTAAAATATTAGAGCTGGGAAGGACCTTGGTAATAATCACTAACTTCAGAAATTAATAAATCATAAATTGTAAGAATAAATAGCATTTATTACTCTTGCCTTATGTACTAGGCACTTTCACATGTTTACTTACTCACTTCTCATAAATGTCTGTGAAAGGAGTACTGTGTTTATTTTTCAGATGGAAACAATGCTCATAAAGTTAATAATATGAAAAATAAGAACAGCAACAGGGGGCTGGATTGGGAATAAAAGGGATAAAACTGTATTTGAACAATGATTAAAATAAAATTTAAAAAAAGAACAGCAACAAAAATACCTAATAATTATTCAGACATGGGTACTTTACATACACTTATTTCTTTAAACATATTTACTAAGAAACTACTGAAATACTGGACAAGAAAGAACTATGTCTCTGCTTTGATGGAATTTATATTATAGTGGGGAGGTTGAAAGTGTAAACAAGAAAGAAAATAATCAAAGTAATTCCCCACAGGTAAAGTGCATGAAGCAAATACAATGTGTTGCAGGAGAGAGTTACTAGGAGGATGCTTCATGGACTGAGGGTTCAGGGAAGGCTTTTCTGAGGATCTGACATTTGAGCTACACCTGAATAAAAAGACACCAGCCACCCACAGACTATCAGCTCATTTATTATATAGTGACCCTATCAGACAAGAATTATTTTTATTCCGATATTGCAGTTAAACTTGAGGCCCAGAAACTTTTAAAAAACTTGCCCACAGTTTCACAGCAAATAAAAGGATCATGATTTAAACCATACAATCTTAGAGAACCTCCTTGAAGTGATTAACTCAAGGTCACAGAGTCAGTAGTAAAGCAGACTAGAATCAGCCCCTCCTGATCCCAAGGACAGTCATCATCATACTGTCATGATGCCCCTGGTCCATCACAATGGACAAAAGCAGGTAAGCAAAAGTATAAGGACAAGTCAATGCAAAATACATTTTCTAATATTAAAGTGTAGGAAAAGCATCCAGGGATGAGAGAAAAACAGAACATGCAGATATACAAGCACTGAGTTCTCCACTAAGATCAAGTACACTCCAATCATAGTTGTCAAGAATACTGGCAGTGGCCCTGGGTCCATAAGCCTTGCCTGGGATGCCCCGCCCCCTGCCCTGCCCCAGATCCTACCTTAGAACACAGCAGTAGGCCTTGCTTCAGTTCCAAAACAGAAGGAAGAGACCATACTTACCCTCAATGTCACCCCATGGAAAAAATACAGACAAAAAGTATTCAGGTTGAATGACTCAAAATAAAAGACTGCTGAAATTCTGTTCTCTCTCTTCTCATTTTATTATTGGTTTTATTTTTTAGGAGTTTTGAAGGTGAAATGACAACACCCAGAAATTCAATGAGTGGAGCTTTCCCAGAACATCCTGTGAAAGGCCCTATGGCTATGCAACCTGCTCAAAAAATTATTCCCAGGAGGATGGCTTCCGTGGTGGGCCCCACACAAAGCTTCTTCATGAGGCAGTCCAAGGCTTTGGGGGTGAGTCAGTTGTCCTCCATTCCATATTCTAGGGATTCTCTGACCTAAGGAAGCAGATGCTGTTGGCCAAGGGCAGGACTCAATCCAATTTGAAGGTATCTGATCCAACCTGAGGTGTTCTTCATGTCAGAAATAATGGGTCAAATCAGTGATGTACTGAGAAGTTATCACAGTGATGTTATGTCTCTTTTTGATTTGAGGCTTGCATATTTAAGGATCTCCCATCTAAGTTCATCAGTAGCATCCTAGGTATATCTGCCTTGCAAATGTCCCAGGTGATAGAGAAAATGATCTGAACAAGACAAATGTCTTGGCAACTTTACCACTCACTCCCTCTGGGCATTTCACACAGGCTTCCAGCCTTACCTTTGCTTTCTGACTTGAAGATGATTTCAGTTCACCCACCAGTGCCCCTATTTCTTTCCCAGGCTGTCCAGATTATGAATGGGCTCTTCCACATAGCCCTAGGTGGTCTCCTGATGATCCACATACAAGTCTTTGCGCCCATCTGTATCACCGTGTGGTACCCTCTCTGGGGAGGCATTATGGTAAGTAAAAATTCACAACCATTTTGATGATGCAGACAAAAATGTTGAAAAGCTCCACAGGAATATACCAGATTATTTCTGTGTTGAGTAAAATTGAGCAGGAAATGGGTTATCTGGTAAAAGTGATGTAATGGAAAGGGTTGACTAAATTGGGTGTGAATGCCATGGTTGAGTTAGTCGTCATGCGTCATGTGAAGTTGGACGGAGATGCCCTACGTGAATCCACATAGGGAAGGAAGATTGTTCAAAGCATGGCCTCTCCACAGTCAATTTGAGGGGAGCAGGGAAGAGGAGTACTAGATATTTGGACTATATACCATGGTGTTTCAGAAAGCAAAAAGGGGTAGGAGCATCCCACTTCCAGCTGGTCCTTCTTCCCTACAATTCTGCTTAGTTACTATTGCACGTGGTAGAATTAGTCCCACCCCAAATAAATCTCCTATTGCTTATCAGGAGAGCAGCGGCTTCATGTACATATTTTCCAAGCTTTTAATTTTGTCTGGTTGTGATATGGGGCAGTGGTGTTTAAATTACCATTACAGTTTTCAGGTGCTATGATAAAAGATGAATCCAAGATTGAATTTTTCCAAACCAGGGGAGATGGATTAGAACAAGAATTCTCTCCATTGTACAGCTTGAACCATAGAAAAGGAAAATGATAAATAATCATCACCACTTCCTGTAGCAGCCAACATTTTAATGGGGTGCCCATGGCAGTCAGGCCAAGTATTTTCTACACTGATTCATTCTTTATTGGTGTCAGTCATGTAAATCATCATGTGTTACAAAAAGCAATTCTACAGGTTTTTTTAAAGAAAGAAAAACTAAAAATAATTTAAATTCACATTGTGACTATTAACTGATGGAAATGTGAATTCTGCCTCTTTGGTTTTATTATATTCCTAGTCTCAGCTCCCCAGTTCATTGAATAAAAGGTACAGATTAAGTGTAACTGATCCTGAATAAAGGAGAAATAGGACCACTGAAAAATAAATGAATCTGATTAAAAAAGGATGGATAGTTTAGTGAAAGTGGTTGAAAGTGTGGATAGCTTTTTTACAACCAGTTCTCAATGTTAAAAAGTAATAGACCGAAAGTGACCAGAGGGGAGGAGGGTGAGTAATGGTAGAAAGGAGGGGCAGGGACTAGACAAAGAACATGTACGAATGACCCATGGACATGGACAATAGTGTGGGGATTGACTATGGGAGAAAGGGGGTGGGATGGGTGGAGAAAGGCAAAGGCAAAGGGGGAAAAACTGGGACAACTGTAATAGAATAACAATAAAAATGATTTATTAAAAAAAGTAATCTCCTTCTCCCTCTGGGCCTCTCTTCCCCTCTGCCTGTTCTCCCATCTCCCACACCCTTCCCCACCCACCACCTCTCTTTTTTTCAGTATATTATTTCTGGATCTCTCCTGGCAGCGGCAGGGACAAGCTCCAGAAAGAGTCTGGCAAGTAATCGTATGTTTTTCTCTCCCACACATCCAAGGAATAACTAAGGTCTCAGTTGAAAACAAGAACCCTTAATGACCTTTGGAATCACAGTAACATTGAGTTCTCTAAAGCTTAAAAAGCAAAAGATCTTCTACACTGCTGTTTTGATTTTATTTATGAAAAAGTTAGAAATGAGAATCCACCTGAAATGCATCCATGGAAACAGAATTAAAACCAGATGGGTGAAGAGCATGCTTATGATCTTACAACTGATGAATGCTGTGTGAGACCAACAGATCCCTCTAAAAACCATATCATTTCCCTCAGGCCACCATGTAGGACAACTGTCTAATCAATGGTATGATTGACTCAAGTCATAGTTAACACTGCGTTTTAACTTTGAGCTCAGTTTACTTCCATGTAACTCTGAGTTTTCACCTGTAAAATGGAGGTAATAGTCCTTGCTACCGTATGAAATTGCTGCTAGGATTAAATGGAGTAGAATAAAGGAAAGTGCTTCAGAGGCTATAAAGAGCTACGGAGTGGTCTTGTTTATAGGGACACATTTACACCCAGGAAGAGCTCCCCATACTGTATGGATCAAGAGCTCATCAGCAAGTTAGTTTTCTTGCCCTACTTCTTTTTATACCTACTAAGCTATTACTCATTTGAGTCACTTCCAAAGTCAGTGAGGGACTGAGTGAATTGAGATGCCCCTCTCTAGAGGAGGTCTGACAAACTCAGTTTTTGGGGAAAAAAACTTTATGAAGGTCACATTGTTTTACTCTCCAAATACAGCCAGTCCTACTGACTTGCCATCTGTAGGTCATATAGTCAAGGATGAAACATGTTTGTCTGAAAGCAATCATCCATAATCTCATATCATTATGGCACTTGTCACATATATTTTCCTGTTTTGACCTTTTATTGTCCTCACAAGGTAGAACCCACCCACTGACATCCTCTTACCTAATGCTACCAGAGTTATCAGCCCCAATGGTATTTTAAAAGATGGCTGACTGGGGCTGATTGCAACCAATGTTAATAGGAAGTAAGTGGTGGTGTTATTCTTGCGGCTGTTTGTTTCTACTTGATAGTCTAGACCTGGGTTCTGTCTGCTCTTTCCCTGCTTATACCCACAGTACCACCCTAGTTCACCGAGATGAAAGAACCTCCTTCTCTCTCTCCCTTCTACCTTCCTGCACAGACAGATATGGTCTGAATATTTATCTTTATTTACCCAACAAACATTTATTAAATGCCATCTAGGACATTGACAATAGCAGTAAAAGGAAGTGCAAGGGGGTAATTGATAAGAATTAAGAATTATTTCCACAATTTTTTCTTGATAAACTGATTGGATGGTGATGGCCTAAAAAGAGATGGGGAAGACTGAGACAGATTGAGAGATGAAGGTTTTTATTTTACAGTGTCAGAGACTAAAAACAACTGAGAGAAGAGTGGTATGGATTATTTAGGTATAGGACCTTCATGAGTCAGAGGCATAAGATCTGGAATTCATGCCTAGCTTAAATTCTCCCAATGGAAATTAAACCCAATTAATAACTCCTTTATGTCTCCATTCCAGGTCACAGGGAAAATGATAATGAACTCAGTGAGCCTCTTTGCTTCCATTTCTGGGGTAATCCTTTTGATCATGGACATATTTAATATTACAGTTTCCCCTTTTTTAAAACTGAAGAGTTTGAACTTGAGCAAAGCTTCTGAGATTAACATACCCAACTGTGAAGCAATTAATCACAACGAGCAAACCACTCTACATATGGATTATTGTTATAGAATTAGATCTGTGTTCTTGGTAAGTGTGAAATTTGATTTCTTTTTAGAGAGGAAGTGTGGTATTTTTATTATGAGCATCAACTCTAGATCCAGACTCTCTGCATCTGGTACTTATTGCCTCATGGCTTTGGGCAAGAATTTTAACCACATTCTGTCTGAATTTTAATTATAAAATGTGGAAGGCAATAGTACTTATCTTATAAGGCTGTTTTGAGGGATGAGTTAATATATGCAAAGCATTTCGAGCAGTGTCTGGTACATAGAAAGTGCTATATAAATACTTGCTTTAACATTAGTAATACTGTTATTATTAGTGGTATTAATATTTATTATTATTATTGATTAAGGTGAACACTGAAGAACTACCTGAGTTGTCATGAATATCTTTTGCCCCAAGCAGTTTTTAGTGTAGAGTTTGAAGAGGAAAAAATGTATCTCCCAAGTATGAAGAGCTGTCCTTGGTGTGATACCACCTAAATAAAGCTAGATAAAATTTAATTTGGGGATCAGTAGTTGTTCTCTCCTACATAGAATTGACTCTTCAACTAATTATTTGCCTCTCATTTTTCTATCAGCAACATGTGTTAACTATTTGTTGTATGTCAAGAGTTGTGCTAAGGGTTAAGATTATAAAGATACTAGTATTAATAGTTCTTACTGGTAGTCATGATTTACTTGAAGAATTGGTCTTTTAATAATTTAATTTTAGTCAAAAGTCATTCACTGAGCGGCAATCACATTCTTGTACTTTTTATTATTACATTTTCATCCTCACTTTTCTGTTTTTCTTCAGAGCCTTTTTGCAGTGATGCTGATCTTTGCCTTCTTCCAGAAACTTGTCACAGCTGGTGCTGTTGAGAACGAATGGAGAAAGCTGTGCTCCAGACCCAAAGCTGTAAGTAGTAGCCCACCTGTCTACAACCTTCCTCTAGGAAAACCATGTCTTACTAACAAAAAAACAAAAACAAAAACCTCTCGAATGTTCACAGGAGAATGTAATGCAATGAGACTTTGAGCCTGGGAGCTTCATGACAAAATGGCCTCAGTGTGAAGAAACATGTCCGGAAGTTTGAAATAAGTCTATAGGTTAGACAGAAGATACAATTCTATAATGTGCCACCCTCTTACTAATCTTGACTTTTGCTTGACTTCAAGCATTCAGCTAGATTCCATACTAATTTGTAAGAAAACAGGTGACTGAAGGTTGAAGGCCAATGAAAGCCACTAGTTCGTCCACTTTATTTTTCAGTATTCCCTTCTTCCACCTACCCTCCATACATACAGCCTTCTTATCTAATCCCTCTTCCAAAACAATAGTAAGAAGCTCCACAACTGAGAAATAGTAATACCTATTGTCAACTACTTCAGAACTATAGAATGTTAGATTTAGAATGGAATTTAGGAATCATCACTAATTCCTTCATTTTGTTGATGAAAAAAGTAGAATTAGAGATAGATTTTCCCAAAATTATCTCCAATAGAGGCAAATCAAAATGAAACCCATTGTAAATTGTGCTGCTATGAACATTGGGGTGCATAGGTTCTTTTGACTTAGTTTTTCAGGATTCTTAGGCTATAATCTCAGCAGTGGAATTAGTTTAGGGAAGGCAATTAGTTCCATTTTAAGTTTTTTACAGAAATTCCATACTGTTTTCCACAGTCGCTGCACCAGTCTGCATTCTCACCAACAGTGCACCAGGGTTCCCTTTACTCCACAACCTTTCCAGCACTTGCTTGTTGACTTATTTAGGATGGCCATTCTGACCGTTGTGAAGTAGTATCTCATTGTGATTTTAATTTGCATCTCTCTGAAGGCTACTGATGCTGAGCGTCCTTTCACATGTCTCTGGGCCCTCTATATGTCCTCCTTGGAGAGATTATGCTAAGTGAAATAGGCCAAGCAGTGAATGACAAAAATACCATATGATCTCACCTATAAGTGGAACCTAATCAACAAAACAAATAAGCAAGCAAAATATAACCAGAGATACTGAAATAAAGAACAAACTGACAGTAACCAGAGGGGATGGGGGAGGGAGATAACAGAGGACAGAAGAGGAAGAGTTGTCAAGGAATATGTGTAAAGGACCCATGGATAAAACCAACAGGGGGTAGGCGTAGGATTGAGTGTGGGAAGTGGGGGTAGGTGAGTGATGGGGGGAAATGGAGACAACTATAGTTGAACAACAATAAAAAAATAGCTCTGCAAAAAAAAAAAAGAAAATCTAAGTGCCTCTATTACTGCAGTATTCCTTCCCAAATATTGGATGATCATTCCAGGCAAAGTGGCAAAAACTGCTGGCCTTGAGGATGAGTCTTGATAAGTGATTTGGTAAGAATGTAAGCACCTAAGAAATCAATCCTGGCACTTAGAACCACATAGGAAATAAAATAGGTAGCATAAAAACAAGGAGGTATTTGATAAATATTTGTAGAGATTGTTGAGAAATGTGTCAATGGTAAAGATCAAGAAAAATTTGTTTAATTTATGTATTCTAGGATGTTGTTCTCCTGTCAGCAGAAGAAAAAAAAGAACAAGCAGTTGAAATAAAAGAAGAAGTGGTGGAGTTGACTGAAACATCTGTCCAACCAAAGAATGAAGAAGATATTGAAATTATTCCAGTTCAAGAAGAAGAAGAAGAAACAGAAATAAACTTTCCAGAACCTCCCCAAGATCAGGAATCCTCACCAGTAGAAAATGATAGTGTCCCTTAAGCCTTTTTTTGTTTTCTGCTTTCCTTTTCTAAGCATTAGGGTTCGTAGCTTCTGAGACATATCTCCTCCCATTTCTTGAGGCACTCTGCATGTATCCTGCACAACCATCTCTGGTCTTTGTATAGAGTGACCATGGTTCCATCTCTGTGTTTCTCATTCGGAGAGTATAGCTATTGCAGCAGATTGTGTCAAAATGTTTCTTGTTCGGAGCAGTTTTCTTATATTAAAAAGGGCAGAATGTGATTTCTCACCAGCCTTTGCCTTGGCTAAGCTGTAGTAGTAGCAGCAGTAGGGTATGCTTTTCATTTCTTACCTTCTCAATAGGGAAGAAAGGCACCTGATGAAAAAGAAAAATGACAGCTCCACGCCATCCCTAAACTATTTCTAATTCCTTATACATCTACATTTTTGGTGGAGTCCCCTTTGAACCACTGTTTTAAGGAAAGTAAAAATAATGGTAATGAGGTGCTATAAGGAGCCTATTTCATCTATCTGTGGAGCTGACACTGTGACACATTCTTAGAGCCTCCCCCTCCCCCACCCCAATCAGGAAGGCTCTAAGTGGCCAACACCCAATCTTTTTTTTTTTTTTTGTATAAACAGCACAGCTTATACATGGCCATATATCTGTCTGTCTTAACTTTCCCTAACTCCTGCTCTAGGCCCTTAGTTGCATTGTCTACCCTTAGGCAAGAAAAGAAAGAATGAAAGAAAAATACCATGAGTAGCCACATCTCAAATGATAATCAACACTTGCATTTGTTGAATATTTTACAGTCAACAAAGTATTTTATAAAATAATTGCATTTGATTGTCCATGATCAAGAAAAAAACCCCTATTTTACAAATGATTCAAAAAGGCTAATTTGTAAATAATTAAAGGTAATTTCTTGATGGTCATATCTAGCAATTTTGAGAGCCTTTTTTCATACCTAGATCTTCTTCTCAAATCCTGCAGTATTTGGAATAATCAAATTGCCTGTCCAATGTCCACATAAACTATTAGAGCTAAGTCGACAGGTTTTATCAAGCACTTACTCTCTGACCAGCACCAAAAAGGTTTTAAGAGAGACAAAAAAGAGTCAGAAATCTTTACTACTTTCAGATAAAAAGACTTGGCATTCATAATCTTTGAAAAACTACTTATATGGTAAATATAAAATTAGTGTCAGGTTATATAATGCAGATTCTAAGTGCTACAGCCATTCTGAGAATGAAGATTCTGCCTGAAACGGAAATAAATGGAAATACAATCCCAAATCTCAGGCAATAGCTACCTTACTTTTGATTCTCGTTCATATTCAGAGATACCAGTACTCTACAAAGAAAGAATGTTAACCTAGGTAGATGTCACTAGAATCTGTCAACTACATATACAGACAATATAAATTCAATTTCAGTGATATTTCCATTTTCTTAGGAGTCACTCATAGAAGATATTTCCTCTGATTAGAAAGAAGGAAGGTAGGACATTCTTCTGTCTATGTAAAGTCCCCAGAATTAGATTTAGATAAATAAAATATTTGCATTCTTAGTCACAACATGATTCCAACATGGTATTTCCCCAGTCTTCTTTATTCTTGCAACATCAGACTATGTGAGGCTCCTTGAGCCTTAAGTTCATATTCATACAACCCAATCTGGGTAGGGACTGTAAGGTGTCAGGATATTGACCATTCATGTCATTATATTCTTACACACACACTTTCCCAAGAAAAGTTTTCATGGAACAGGTCATTAACAATGTATCCCTCACTCTCAGCACTTCAGAATATGACTGAAATATATGGCAGGCACTCCTGCCTTGAATAAGAGGAAAAGGAAGAATTTTATTTTATTCATTTTTAAGATCTCAAATAATTAGTTTTTACTAACTTCAGATAATTCCTTATAATCTGAGACACTGTTAATGCCTATTGTTAATAATCCCTGCTATGACTTTCTTCCAATTATCCCTTGGCCAATTTGTTCACAGTAGGTCAGAGACCACCTTAATCTGTCCAAGACTGAAAGGCTCCCTGGGATGCAGAACTTTTGGTGCTAAGATCTGGATAGCCCAAGGCAAACCAGGATGGTTAATCACTTTTGTTCATAGTAATACACAATTTTACCCATCTGTAATCACTGTATAATATAATATGCTTTTTATACTAAACATTTTTCATAAATACTTTTCCTTGTTGATATATAATTTTCATAAGTATTAGTTTTAGTTGCAACTTAGCCCTCATTAAATCAATGTGGAAGTTACCATTCCTCTAAAACTAGGTACTTAGGGTATTTCCAAATTTTGGGTTTTTGGGGGTTTTTTGAAAATTACTTTTGGTGCTGCAGAAACCTTGAGAAATATACATATTTCCTCTTCTCATTATTCAAAATGTGGCTTCACACTTCAAGCTTAGTCAAAGTCTGTCAGAGGCTTAAACATAAGAGTTAACACTATACAACTCTTAGAAGAAAACATATGTGTAAACTTCCACACCTTGGATTACACAATGGTGTTTTAGGTATGACACCAAAAACATAAGCAAACAAAGCAAAAAATCATCAATATTAAAACTTTTTTTGCTTCAAAGGACACTATAATGAAAGTGAAAATACAACCCACAGAGGGGAGAAGATAGTTGCACATTATGTAACTGATAAGGGTCTAGTGTCCATAATGTATAAAGAAAGCTTACAAATCAACAATAAAAAGACAAGTCAATTAAAAAAATTGGCAAAAAATCTGAATATATATTTCTCCAAATATACAAATGGTCAATAAACACATGAAAAGAAGATCAATGTCATTAATCACTAGGGAAATGGAAATCAAAACCACAATGAGTACCACTTCACACTCATGGGGATGGCTATAATCAAAAAGAAAGTAATAGGACTTCTGGTCAAGATGGGGGCATAGGTAGACACACTTCAGCTCTTTTTGCAACAATGGAAAGAATTGCAGCCAGATCTCAAAACAAATAATATCCAGGACCATAAAAAAATTAGCTTTATGGGAGTCCAACAACCAAGGATTTAAAGAAGCCACTTTCATCCAGTCAGGTAGGAGGGGTGGAATTATGAAGACAGGCAGAGAGGCACAGAGATACAGAGTGGAGTGGAGAGGTAGCAGTGGTGATGGAATGGATATGGTGGATAAACATATGGTGGATAAAAAATTGGGAGGGATACCTCGGTAGCATGTGATCCCAGACCCAGGCCAGCCTACACAGCCCAGGGTTTCAGCACTAGGAAGATAAATCCCCAGTGGGGGTTGGGGTGGTGGAAGAAACTGCCAGATTTTCAGGATACTCAGCTTCCAGGGCCCACATGGATTTAGACTGTATGCAAACCCACTCACTCTGGGATTCACCACCAGGGCAACATCTGGAAGTGGGTGAAGTGAATAGAAAAGGGGTGAGTACCAGGCAAACCTCCAGAATCCAGGCAGCAGCACTGTCCCCTCTCTAAGCCCTCCTCCACATAGAGCCACAAAGTAGTGAAGTGGCTACCCCATCCTGGCGATTACCTAAGACTACCCCACACTATTTACAGGTGCCTTTTCTACAATAGGCCATGCTAATAAAACAGGGAGTCAAAGCAGCTCTACCTAATACACAGAAACAAACACAGGGAGGCTGCCAAATTGAGGAGACAAAGAAATATGGCCCAGATGAAAGAACAGAACAAAACCCCAGAAAAAGAGCTAAACAAAATGGAGATAACCAACCTGTCAGATGCAGAGTTCAAAACACTGGTGATCAGGGTGCTCAAAGAATTCACCAAGTACAGCAACAACATAAAGGAAGAAATGAAGTTTACACTAAATGAAATAAAGAAAAATCTACAGGGAACCATCAGTGGAGGGGAAGAAGCCAGGATTCAAATCAATGATTTGGAACATAAGGAAGAAATAAACATTCAGCAAGAACAGAAAGAAGAAACAAGAATTTAAAAAAAACCCAACATAGTATAAAGACCCTCTGGAACATCTCCAAACGTACCAACATCCAAATCATGGGGGTGCCAGAAAGGGAAGAGGAAGAGCAAGAAATTGAAAACTTATTTGAAAAAATAATGAAGGAGAACTGCCCTAATTTGGCAAAGGAAATAGACCTCCAGAAAGTCCAGGAAGCTCAGAGTCCCAAACAGGTTGGACCCAAGGAAGCACACACCAAGGCACATCATAATTATATTAACCCAGATTAAAAATAAGGAAAGAATCTTTAAAGCATAAAGAGAAAAGGAGACAGTTACCTATAAAGGAGTGCCCATAAGACTGTCAGCTGATTTCTCAAAAGTAACCTTACAGGCAAGAAGGGGCTGGAAAGAAATATTTGAAGTCATGAAAGGCAAGGACCTACATCCAAGAATACTCTCTCCAGCAAAGCTATCATTTAGAAAGAAAGGGCAGATAAAGTGCTTCCAAGATAGGTTCAAGGTAATGGAGTTCATCACCAGTCCCCTATTATATGCAATGTTAAAGGAACTTACCTAAGAAAATGATGATCAAAAATATGAACAATAAAATGACAACAAACTCACAACTATCAACAACTGAACCTAAAAATACAAAAACAAAAATTAACTAAGTGAACAACTAGAACAGGAACAGATTCACAGAAATGGAGATCACCTGGAGAGTTATCAGCAGGGAGGTGGGGAGGGGAGAATGAGGTAAAAGGTACAAAGAATAAGAAGCATAAATGGTAGTACATAATAGACAAGGGGAGGTTAAGAATAGTATAGGAAATGTAGAAACCAAAGAACTTGTATGTATGAATCATGGACATGAACTAAGAAGGGGGAATGCAGGTGGGAAGGGGGTGCAAGGTGGAGCGGAATAAAGGGAGGGGGGCAATGAGTCAACTGTAATAGCATAATAAAAAAATTTAAAAAGAAGCATAATTGATAGGTACAAAATAGACAAGGGGATGTTAAGAAAAGTATAGGAAATGGAGAAGCCTTTGGACTTATATGCACAACCCATGGACATGAACTAAGGTGGGAGGATTGCTGGAGGGAAGGGGAGTACCAGGTGGAGAGGGGCAAAGGGGAAAAATTGGGACAAGTGTAATAGCATAAACAAAAAAAATTATATTTTTAAAAAAGAGTTAATCTCCAAACTATTAATAAATTTAAAAAATAAACAAAACCAAAAAATAAAGTTATGATTGTTGGTGAGGTTTTGGAGAAGTTGGCACCCTCATAAACTGCTAGTGGTGATGAAAGTTGGTGTAGCTGCTGTAAAGAATTGTTTGGGCATTCCTCAATAAGCTAAACATAAGTTACTACAAGACTCAGTAGCCCACTAGTAGATAGATATACTCAAGAGGATTGAAAACATGCATGTGATCACACAGTCTTTTTTATACAAATGATCATGGCAGAATTATCCATAATAGCCAAAAGTGGAAACAACCCCAAAGTGTATCAATTGATGAATAGATAAAGACAGTGTGGCATACCCATACAATGAAAGTATTCAGCCATCAAAAGGAGTAATGAACTGGTACATGTCACAACATGGATGAACCTTGAATATATCATGTTAAGCACAAGAAGCCAGATTCAAATATCCATATATGTTTCCATTTATGTAAAATAATCATAATAGGTAAATTCATAGAAACAGAAAGTAGATTAGTGGTTGCCAGAGGTTAGTGGCGTGGGAAGGAAAGTGAAGAATGACTGCTAACTGATTCAGGTTTCCTTTGGGGGTGATGAAAATATTCTGAAATTATATAATGGTGATAGTTGCATAACTTTGTGAATATACTCAAAACAATTTAAAAGGGTTGGTTTTATGGTGTATGAATTACATTTCAATAAAGATAATTTAAAAAGAGAGAACCAGTGATATAAGACAGCCAGAAAGGACTAGATAATGGTGAAGTGCCCTAGTGACAAGCACAAAATAATTGCTCAATAATATTACAGGATAGGAGTGAGCTATCCTATAATATTACAATGAAGGCTAGAATGTTATAAGAAAATCTCATGGAATAGGGGCATTTGAGTTGATCCTTAGAGAAGAGGCAAAAATTATCTAGTAAAAGAAAAAGGAAAGACTATTTCAGGTAGAGGCAGCAATACTTATACAGAATGAAAACAAAGCATTCTGGTTGTGTTCAGGGGCACTAACAGAATAACCTGGATGGATCTCAGTTAAATCAGAGTGTTATCAGACTTAAGAGAGTAGAGAAAGCCGAGGACCATACTATGCAGTGTCTTCAATGCCTATGGCAACTAGCCTTTAATTCATAAACGTTAGGAAATTATTAGAGGTGTTTGAGTACAGAAGTAAGAAATTATAATATAATCAGCCACACATCACTTTATTTCATGGTTTCAATTTCAAAATAAAAGAAAGCTTATACTGAAAAAATAGTCTAGAAAATAAGTGAGATAAGAGTAAACAAGAAACTAGTTATGAATTAAAGGTTAGAAAGAAGAAGGTTATATTTTAGAGATATTTTGGGGTAAACAGGACTCAATGGATATGAAGGAGTTTATTAAATATAAAGAGGGAAGAGAGTAAGAAATCAAAAACATCGCTCAGGTCTG